GGGGTTCTTCTTACAACTCGAATTCTGTCTCCATTTTACCTCCTCGTGTGTGACGCTCTAATTTAGAAAAACCCTCGCCAGACCCTTGGCCAGGGGCTCCCCACGTCTTCCTATCTGTGCCGGGCGGCGGCAGGTAAAGGCTCCTCCGGCGTGAGTCATCCTCGCCCCCGGGGAGTCGGGAGGCATTGATTAGCATTCAGGCGGTGCCACCGCTCAATATTTACACCAGGGAGAGTTGGCAGAAGCAAATAATGGCACATAAACTGGATGCCTGTCTTAATTAAATGCACCGTAATAGGTGTTGTGTGGGGTTTTTTCCCTTGCGGTGAGCAAGGCAGTTTATTGAGGACCAGAGATCACTCATTTTGGATGGAGTCCTGAGTTTGAACATAATCGATATGTGTTTACAGCCGCAGAAGAGGCGATGGCCGTTTGTTATCTGCCGGCCCGAGAATATAATGGCCCGAATAGCATTTATTTAGGCATATTTCTGCACAGCGTATGCCTAAAAATATTTATTATTTTTTTAGGTGTTAATACTGATACTGTCATTTCTCTAAGTGCTGCTGTTTAGGGAGATGGCTTTTGAGAGGCGCACGGGTCTGGTGACCAATGGGGAGCCGCCGCGGTGGACGGCGGCCCCGACGCCAACAGCTCAGCACCAGTTCTGTCCTGGCCTGACTCTCGGCCGTCAGCGTGTCAGCCCGGATCCCACACACGCTGGTTCGCTCTGGGCCCCGAGTCTGATCTGGAGCAGGCCGGTCAGTCCGTGACTCCGGGCCCAGCCATCGGTCAAACCCTCTCTCTGGTTTCCTGATAAAACCCAGCGAGCGCATCCAGCCTTGAGCTCTGGCTCTGTACCTTAGAAAAGGACCTGCTCGGTTGCCAGGGGCCAGCCCCGGTCCTTTCCAGGCAAGGAAACTGAGACGAACGGCGAGGCGACGTGTCCCCCACCGCCATGCAGAGTGAGGGTCCGAGCTGAAACATTTGGGGTCCACGTAGAGAAAAAGGGCCCGGACGTGGGTTTCCATGGTTACTGCATTATTTTCAAAATGAGGTCTAGATATTTCCTGGCCGTCCGCTCGAACTGAATCTAAAAATGTCATCGTCAGGGTGGAAGGCCTGTCTCCCACGGTCACACACACTCCGGCTCGCCCAGCGTCCCCGGGGTACAGGGAGTTCCGTGCAGTCCGTGAAGGTCAGGGTGACCCGAGCGACAACGCCGACCTCAATTTGGACAATTCTGCCTCATCTCCTGGGGAAGGGCCCCATTCTACTTGTGTACCGTTCTGTTCTGTCTTGGCCATATATTTATAAGCACTGATAGCATATCTGAAACAGCCCTTTCCACTATTTGTCCTGTGAGAACATAGTTACTCACAGTCAGGATAGAGTTTCAGTTTATATGATTGTTACTCCCACTCATATAATTTCAGACCTGTGGCCGTCGTCTGTACCCCGCAGGGAGGGAGCCTCTTGCGTTGGGTCTGAATAATGCAAGAAGGTGGGGGGAAAGGGGGAGGGCTCCCTAATTAGCTTCCCATCCCAGAGGCAGTAGGTGTGGTTCAGTGGCAAAGACCGAAGGCTTGAATACTATGTTACCTTATTAATAGTTATTAATAGTAACTACTTGTTACTATTACAAGTAGTTACTATTAATAACTATATTAACAGTAGTTACTAAGGTGTCCCAAAAAAATGTATACACTTTGAATAATTATAAAAGCAGTGTTTACTAAAATACATTTCATTTTCAAAATTGAGCTGTCAGCTGTTACAGTGTGTATACATTTTGGGGGGACACCCTGTGTATACTAATACTAGCAGATTCTCCCCTCCTCCTATTGCCGGCTTCAGACTTCAGGGACTGGACTGAGTCAAGTGGGAGAGCAGGAAATGCAGCTGAAACGATGAATTTGTGTGTGTGTTTAAGTATTTTCAGGACACCAAAACACAAATTTCATCATAAAATCATCAGTATATTCCTAATACTCTCAGTCAGGATAGAGTTTCAATAATTGGCAATTTCTTTTCAAAAAACAACAACACAAATTTAAAGAAGTTATTGTTGTTATCGTGGCCACAAGGAATTACAGGACAAATGGGATGGCCACATGTGCTGGCCGTTGTCCAGGACGGCCCGTATCCAAAGGGCTCAAAGGGCTGGAGCGTGGATACTGTAACAGTATCATTTCTAATTATAACTTCAAGGAACTTCCTCTTCCAAAGAGGTAGCTGCAGAAGCCTGTCCTTATCTCACCAAAAAATAAGGCTTCTGGGATTAAAAACATCTTAACGGACCCTTTGGCTCCAGGTCCAGCAGCCCGGTCACCGTTTTCGCTGCCCTGTGGTATTTCATTATTTAACGTGCCCCACAATTTATCGACTCCAGCTGATGGGCATTTATTACAAACAGTGCTAAGGGGACATTTTTCTACACGTCTTCCCGGACTACATGGCTGGGCAGATCTTTTCGATGCTGGAAATTGCCAAATCATCCTCCAGGTGGCTGTTACTGGCCACAGTAACCAGGAACTCTCGCCTCTCTGTATCTTGGGCGCTGTAATTGCATCTCTGTTGTTACTGTTTCCATTTGCATTCTGCTGACTCGGACTCATTTTATTTGTTTCCCTGAAGTACCTGTTCCTGTCCTTTGCCCACTGGAAGCTAGGCTTTTCCTTATTGATCTGAAGGTCCCTCTTCGGTAGATAAGATTAGATTTAAAAAGATTAGATAAGGGTAGGTTAGACTGGC